CCATATGTTTGGCTGTTTTGCCCCAAGCCACAACCAGTTTCAGCTCACATCAAACTGCTCTAGCCACAGTTACCATGTAGTCATCAACATGCCACCTGTGTTTCTAGTTCTTTCTTTTGGCTTCCATATCTAGCTTTCCCTCACCTGCACACTAACCAGTGCTCCCTAAGCCTTCAGGTCCCTGATCAGCATCAGCCTTCTTCTTAAAGCTTCTGTAGCACACACCTCCTACTTCTCCAGGCTCATCAATTGTTCTGCTGCCATTTGTACATGCCCTGCTGTTATTGTATCCCTATACTCATTATTTTGTAGATTTTCTACACATGACTTTAGGAGGAAACTTGTGATTTTATTCCTAAATTTAGGACAAGAAATTTAAATTCAACAGAAGGCCATTTTCTTCTACTTCAGCTATATTTTCTCTAGGAATTTTATATTTAGCTAGACTTCTAAAAATAGACAATGTAACCTAGAACATTTTCTTTTGCATAATTTTCATTCTAGCAGAACACTTCAACTTATTAATTCATTAGAGGTTTCAAAATTTTCTCATCCCTCAAGGCATCTTTATTAAGTGCTAAATTATGCCAGTTTGCTAAGAAATCATAGTAACTATACTTCTTTAGAAAATATATATTTTTAGCCTGTGATCACCAAACTGTACAAAATTGTTTAACAATACATATAACAATTTTTTTTGGCCTTTTTGAGACAGGGTCCCTCTATAGCTCCAGTTGTCCTGGAACTCACTATGTAGACCAGGCTGGCCTTGATCTCACAGAGATCCGCCTGCCTCTGCCTCCAGAGTGCTGGGATTAAAGGTGTGTGCTACCACACCCCAAAACAATTTTTAAATCTTACATTCTTATTTCATTCATTGGCAACAATTTTTAAATCTTACATTCTGATTTCATTCATTGGTGTCAAGACCTGTATCTTCTATAATCCTGTATAAGCAGGAAAAAAAAATCAGTGGATTTTTGCATGTCATCTTTCCAGACCATTCTAGAACTTTGTTCTTTTCAAAGACACACAGCAATTTTTAAGTTCTAATATCTATCATTTAAAATACTTGAATAACTGCTGTCCTTAAATAATGCCACAGTAATAAAGGCATTAGCATTGACACTTGACACTATTCATGCTAATATTTTATGCTCTGGATTTTTCCACAGTATGAAAACAATTTGAACATCCAGAGAGAAATGCATATGCCATATTGCCATGCACAGTAGATCAAACTAATGTAGTAAAAATCCTAAATGGAAACCTTCTAAGGAATTTTAAATATACAAACTACATCTGCAAGATATTTAACTATTGTGCTTTAGCTAAAAATTAATGAGATTTAAATTCAGCTTGAAAGAGAACAACCAAAGTTTAAAGTGCATGCTAACTTTGTATCCTGAGTTGGTCCCTCAGGACTCTACACAGCCTGCTTCATACAAAATATCCCAAGTTCACAACAATGATGGATAGTGATAGAGATTCTAACCACTCTTCTAGTTGTCCAAGATCTCAACATTATTATACATGCCTTTCAATCAATGTATTAGATATCTTGGCTTAGTTATTTGTGAAACATACATAAAAGAGAAAATAGAAAGTACAACTAAGTATGCTAGCTTTTTCTCACATGGATGATTCACACATGGAATTTATCAGATATAAGATGACAATTAGCAAATTAAGTGTAATTGGCAAACTAATGATTGCTTCAGTCTGACACATGACCATTTAGGCCAGGAAATTCTCCCCAGTAGTTTTATTTCATATTGCCACCAAAAAGCTCTTTGGTATATACTCTCCCAGTCCTAGAAATTATAAGTACAGTTTCTCAACATGCATAGTAAACTATAACTATTTCTAGAAATGAGAATCAAATGTTAATTATTCCCCTTGTTACACCACATAGTCTTTATTCTTAGAGGGAGCAGCTAAAGTCATCCCTTTTAGAGAATTCCTATGATTGCAGCCAAACTGAAACATACACAGGCTCACCAACAAAGCCATAAAAGCAGTTCAATGGCACTATTATTTCTTTGACAGCTTGTGTTTAATAATTTATTTCAGTTCCAGAAGTGCAGCAAATAACATCACCTATTTTTTGAAGCAGTAAACTGTGTGCCCATGACATGGGAGCCATAATGGAGCATGAGTTTGCAAGACTCTGCATCTGCACTTCTGGTACACCCCCTGCCCAGTTCTTGTAGCTCCACCTACCTCAGTCTAGCTATTTCCACAGACTTTATTACTCTGCCTCTATCTGCTATCCCCAATCTCTCAGCCTTACCAATGCAACAAGGTAAATATATCCATACTGGACAGGCAGCTGGGGAAGGGAGGAAAAAGGTAGAATTAAACATGATCTTATCCCCAAGATGATTCAAATATATGTCATGACATTTGCTGCTGAGTGCTAGTGTTGTTGTTGTTGTGTGTTGTTTTAGTCATGATCTCATGTATTCCAAGATGGCCTCTAACTCTCTATGCAGTTGAGGATGACTTTAAACTTCTGAACCTTCTGACAATTCACGACTGATAGACTTGTTATTTTAATGTTTTAGTACTATAAATTGTACTGTACTCATGTATGAATATATTATGGAGTAATGTTTCTGTATGACAGATTCTTAAAATTACAATTCTAAAACAACTAACATGTATGTTTTAATTTTATTTTTTAGTATTTTATCATTTTAATTTTATGTCTATGAGCATACAGCCTGCATGTAAGTGCACCCGTGTCATGCAATGCCCACGGAAGCCAGAAGAGGGCATCGGATCCCCTGGAACTGGAGTTAACGACTGTTAGCACCGTGTGGATGCTGGGAATGGAATCCCAGTCCTCTGAAAGGGCTGCCATCTGGGAGAGTGTCCTTAAGTGCTGAGCCATCTCTCCAGCCCTTGTATTTTTTTTTTTTTAAGATACTGTGAGTTGATATATAAAATATGTGTACCAGTTTATATTTCCTCAAGCAATGCATGGTCAGTGTAGTCTAAATAACAGTTAGTATTCAATATTATTAAGCTTGAAAATTATTTGATAGGTAAAACAAAACTTCATCATTATTACTTAAATTTACATGATCATTATTAAGATTAAGCTTCTCCCTTGTTTTCAGCTCATTTTTTTAAGTTATTTATTTTATTTTATGAGTGTTTTGCTGTACATATACAAGTACGCCATGTGTGTGCCAGAAGCCCATGGAAGCCAGAAAGGGTGTTAGACGCCCTGGAACTGCAGTTACACAGTTGCAACCCACCATGTGGATGCTGAGAACTGAACCCAGGTCCTCTGCAAGAGCAATAAGTGCTCTTAGCCACTGATCCCCAGTTTATTTATTCTTATTCGGTGAATGGTCACTCATCTCCCTTCCATTTATCTGGTATAATCCATTTTTATGGATTGCGATCAGCTCTTCGTTTTCTATTCCTGTCAACACACTAAGATAAATAATAGACAAACAGATACATATATACATACACAATATTTTTATGGCTGCTTTTAAAACATGCATTTATTCAAGTTTTTCCCATGCAAAAGTTTTTAATTGTAAAGTATTCAAAACCCCTGGTCTTTTATGATTCCTAGGTCTCATTTCTAATGGGAAAATAATCCCAATACTAAGATTGTAAAAATATTCTGGGGGCTCAGCAGTTAAGAGTACTGGCTACAAACGACTTTCAATGTTGGTCCATCCATTGAAGCTTGGTTAACTTACCAAAAGTCACATGCTTGAAAGGCACTGTCTCTGTCCCTCCCAGCAGCCATCTGTTGCCACAATTTCCTTTGGTGGGGGGTGGCAATAGGGGAGGTGGGAATAAGGAAGGGATCTAAGTACCATCAAATAATATTGTAAGGGGAGAACTGGCTGCTATTGAAGACTAACCAGGTTTATCAGTTCCCAGTACCCACATGGCAGCTAGCAATTGTTCAGAACTACAATTCCAAGAGATCCTCCACCCTCCTCCAGCCTCTCCATGGGCATTGCACAACATAGGTGCACTTACATACATGTGAGCAAAACACTCATACACACAAAACAAAAATAATTTAAAAATTAAAATATTCTTCACTGATTCTTCTAATAGTTTCCGGGTACATTTTTTTCAGATCTTCTGATCATTAATTGATTTGCTAAGAATTTCATTAAGTACTGGATGCATAATCTTATCAAGTAAGCACAGTGTGGAATTAAGTTTTTGTAAATAAAATCATTTTACATATAATCTCTGTAGCTCTATGTCACATTACAGCTCCTTTAAATGGGATAACACGAAATTGCCAAATGACACAATAGGCTTTTTCTGAAAGTAGCTGTACTAGAAAATTTCACTAAGTGTACGTGACCATTGATGTTTGGAGGTTCTGTTATGGAGATTTCACACGTGGTTTGGAATGTTCTTATAACGCGAGCTATACTGCTACCACAGAGAATCACTTTTAGTGCTAAATAATACTTAATCCTATTCTATATTGATATGGCTTTACCCTTCCATGTTCTTACAATCACAGCTCAGTGTACAACATGATGAACCTTACTCTTTGCGAGTTATATGACCATGCTTTAGATGATGTAAGTTAGAAAACCAGTTTAGATTTATTGATTTAAATCAAAGTCAGTGTGTTTTATTGAGAAGTTCTTTGGTGCCAACTTAATGGAAAACTCTCCCACTAAGACTGATTATTCTGCTCAATTTACTTTTTTCCCAGAATATTATAACCTGATAGGCTTAAAACAGGATCACAGACTGAAAACCTGTGGCGTCTATTGCCATTTTTATTGAAAAAAACATGCATATTTCTCTCTCGTGTAAACCTTTACAATGGATGACCAGGGATAGCAGAAATATTTCCAATCCTCTTCAAAGGCACTTGATATCTAAAAGACACACATACCCACAGATTCCTCAAGGAAGAAAGAACACTATGCACAGTGTTGTATGAAAATTAGCTAGCACTGATCTTCAAATTTGCTACTAAAGAAAAAGGCCCAATACTTACCTGGCAGAGGAGACACCGTGATCAGGAAGGTGGTTTCCCTAGGGCGAGGTTCATCCACTGCATTTGGGATGTGCTGACCCCTGCAATTTCTCCAAATTCGGGAAACGTGACACATAATTTGTAGTGTTGGAGGACTGCATTTGTGCTCTCCCCTGGGAAAAAAGAATAAGACCCAAATGGCTAGCTTCCCAGATGACTATGAACCACAGCATGCTTTGTCTGATGTGCCCAAGATTTTGTACTCAAACATATTAAAATGTGAGTCTTAGCCAGATAAAAAATAGAAGATCTGGCCACATCAGGTCTCTGTTACAGCTTGGTTATAAGTCGACTGGTGCTGGGTATTGGTTTTTCCTTTCAACTGGCATGTACGCTCCACATTGTGCACCATCCATAGTGTTTTTATCTGCTCTTCATACTTCTATTGTCCAGCCACACCCTTTAAGAAGTTATGAATGTTAATCTTGAAGTACAAACTCAGGGATAGTATAAGAAGGGTATGGCTTGGAGACAGAGAAAGAAATGGACCTGTACTGTAGTACAGATTAAAAGTACCAAGTTACATCCATTTAAGACAGAATAATGACAAAAATGATCTTGACTTACAGGTTTTGTTATTGTTTAATAGAATTTAAAATACAGTTTTCTACGTGAAAATAATATACTGAGCCATAAGAAACAGTATAGTTTGAGTTGAGTTACACCTTCCTATTTAAAATAACACATTTGGGTCCAGTGAGATGACTCAGAGGGTAAACATGCTTAATGCCAAGACTAAAAATCTGAATTTGATCCCTGAAACCCACATGGTGAAAGGAAATCCAACTCCTATGTTGTCCTCTAACGTCCACATGTGCACAAATGTACATATACACAAATAAATAAATGTAATAAAAGATAATACCTTTTATAATAGAATAGTGATTGAGACTAGGAATGATAACCCTGAGGTTCTTATACTATGTTATTAGCTGTGATCCCAGCTCCTGAGCAAAGGAAAGAGTTGAACTGTGATACCATTACACTGAGGACTTAGTTTATTTCACAGGGTCTCAAATGCAGGCACAGCCTGTTAGTGCTTTGCTAGCCAGAGACAAATGTACATGGCCTTTACAATCCCCCTATTAACCAATCTAAATGTAGGCTACCCCTCTATATGACCTCAGTCAAGAGACTCTTTTTCTGATAGTAATTCCAGGAGAATAACTCAGCAGAAATCTGTCACGTATCAGCATTCCCCCAGCTGGGATAACATACTCTCAAGCTTGAAAGAGGATCTATGGGACACACCACACTATTCACTACAGACATCTTTCCACCAACTCTGTCTGGTACTTTATGTATTTTTTGACTCTGATTTTTTTTAACTCTGTTGCTTCGCATTACTTAATATGACATGAATTTTTTTCTTACTTGTGCATTTCTTCTGCTAAGAAACCAGCTTCCTGAGGGAATAAATATCTGTGCTCTATTCTGTGATATTCAAACAGTGATTACTTTGCACAAAGCATAATGAATAAATGGTTTCTCTGATCATAACTGTGAAGCCTCAGAGCTTGGCTTTGGAGAATTTCTATCTTCAGAGACCTCTGTAAAAACTGAGTGTGATGCCTGCATAAGAAAGGATTCTCACTTGGGCTATGCCTGGGAACTTCAAGCAACTAAGACCCCTTTTTCCATAGAGTCAGAGACTCTAGAGAGAATCCTATTACTCTGAAATCCCTATCCATGAAGAATATATCACAGGGCATCCCAGATGAAGACAGATTGCATTTGATCACCAGTTAACTAGAAACGAAGATGCTGATGAAACATATAGACAATTAGAAGTGATTTTAATTGACTTCAGGATTCCAAATTTCTAAGTAATTGCTTAGTAATTTATTCTCCCAATAAAAGAATCATTAAAAATCATTAAATCATTAAAAATGAGGGCCCATGAGGCCTGAATAATACATTTTCAGATGCCATATCCTAAATCTACAGGGAGAAATATCTTCATGGAAATCAGATAGGGTCTCTCAATAACAGAGAGGCAAGAAATCTGAGGAGTCAGGCACTGGCAGGTGTCTTCCCAGCTGTATAGCTAAAAAGTCTCTAGTTACATGTTGCTTGCTAGTGTTAGATAGGCTTACATCTTGGTCCAATTTTTAATGGGACCTCAACTTTGTCTCCCAGACAGTCTGGATAGAAGAAATACATACATTCTCATGATTTTGTTCCTGGCATACCACTAACGTTGTAAGATATTTTCTTTTCTTGTCCTTTCTCCTTCCTCTTCCTCTCCCAAGATCCATGATGTTTACACCCTGATTGACATGAAAAATTAAAAACCACTTAAGGAATTTTCTTTCTCCTATTTCGGATAAACAAACAGCTTCTCTTATTGTCATAATTTCTTAAATTGTGATGTCTTAGACTATCTAAAGTTGAAAACTACAAGCAATCATATCTTTAATTGAAATATTTTTTCATTAAGTAAAGTTGATCTATGTTAGGAAATCTAAGCATATTTGATCTTTATCTTCTGCTTAGTCACTCCTAATATTCCTAAGCATTTCACATTTAAAGTGAGATATTTAAGAATGCAATAGTTGGCAAATAGATTTCAAGCCCTCTTACCCACTTCATAAACAAAAGAAAGCATTGTTATATTTTGAGACTATAGTCAAATAAGTTATTTGATTTAATTTATTACCCTTTCTCTATTTCTCTCTATCAACTTTTGTCATAAAAAATAATTTGAATTTTTTGAAAGATAAGAATCAAAGAGATTAGCCATATTGACTACTAATGCATCAGTCATCATTTTGTTGAAGTATGAATCTTTCAGAAGAATGAGCGTTGAGAGAAATTAGACGAAGCCCATGTAGAAGTGCAGAAGGTGAGATGAGAGCAGGCATTTTATAAATGATCAGGTGAGCTGTGCTGAATCCGACAAACAAATATTAAGTCAAACTACTTCTATGACTTTTAGTACATAACCAGTGGCTTTCCATCCTGGTCTGCCAAGAATTTTACATTCAATTATATTATGTGTGAGGTATAGTGACCAGATGAGTTTTACCCATCAAGACTAGAGTTTTCCAAATATCTAGTACTGTTAGATGCAACCATATGTTGTATAAGTTTGAGAAATGTTTTATGTGGAGCTGACCTTCTAGCAAATCCCCCATCCAACACCATAGTGGCAATTTATAATTTATTGTAATTCTTGTTAGGGGAGATGAGTCAATAGTTTGTTTGAAGATCATTGAAATAAAATAACAAGAGAAAAACACAAGGAAGTAAAATTCATTTATAATCTCCAAATAGAATATATAATGGATGTATTTGAAGCTTTCTATTTGTTTGAGATCACATCCTGACTATGCATACACACCCTTATACCCTGCAGTGATTACCCCACTCTGGCTCTGTGGTGGCAATTTTGGTTTAAAATAATTCTTTTTTTTTTTTTTGTCTTTTTTTGAGACAGGGTCTCCCTGTAGTCCCAGCTATCCTGGAACTCACCATGTAGACCAGGCTGGCCTTGAACTCACAGAGATCCACCTTCCTCTGCCTCCCAAGTGCTGGGATTAAAGGCGTGCACCACCACACCCATCATAAAATAACTCCTTTTTTAAAATAAACAATTTATTGAGAATTTCATACATGCATATAAGGTGTTTTGATCAAATCCATACCCACTCCCTCCCCTCCAACTCCTCCTATATCTCGCCACCACTCTCCCTCTGACAACTTCATGTACTCTTTCTTCTTTAACTTTTTTAATGGGGCTATTGGCTATTCCAACATTCCACCCCTCTGAAGAGGCAACCCCAAAATCTCTCAAAGATTAGATAAAAGCTCCCAAATATTTTTGCATTTTTGGCCTTTGGAATGGAGTAGGTTGCTAAGAGGCCCAAGGATACTGTGAGCTTTAGCCAAGAAACTGCCTACTTTTCTTTGGGGTCTTTTTATCCTAACTGCCTAGTGAATTCCTACTTCTTATTCATACCACACCATCCTCTGAAAAGGTTACCCAAATTGCCAATAGGGAATCAGGGATTTAGACCACTCTGGCTTCTTCCATGTTGAACAGGGGCGCAGGATGAGGCAACTGGAGTAAACCTTCAGTGGGTCTATCTAAAAGACTCCCAAATTGCATAACTCTTATCTTAAGGAGGAAAAAAAAGTCTTTGAATCATGAATAGAATATGTGAAGGAGAAGCAAAAGCAAGAGTAATTAGCATTACAAGTTCTAGACAGGGAACTAGAAAAAAGTCAGAACAGGGCAATTTTCAAATGTTCATATGAGAGTCCATTGGAATTTCTTGACAAAGGCTTCCAAAGGCATCCCTCTATTGGGTTCCTCCTCATTTTTCTTTTGTCTTCCAAGGCTGGATTCTAGAGTGATGGATTCAGGATTTGCTTTCAGGCACTTTGATAGCTGTTGGAGTGGTTAGAATCAGTGTCAGTTCCCTCTCAAAGGCTTCTAGAAAGGGGGAGAAAACACATTTATCCATCATTTTAGAACAATAGCTTTTTTTAAATCCTCAAAACAGATCCTCATTAAATAGTTTCCCTTCAGTGTGAAGATATTTTTTCCTTAGAACCCATAATCAGATAAAACAATCCAGGACATAGACTTCCTGGTGAGTTCATTAGCATACTATTCCCAGACTATAAGGATCACATAGTGATGATGAGTTACCAAACCTCCAGTGCAGAAAAGCCAAAGAACCTTCTTTACTGTTTTCTCTGTGAACCATCTTGTACTCAGTCACTGGGGAATTAACAATATGAATCTTTGTTCCTTCCATTTAGTTACTTCCAGAATCCTTGCCAGCTTTTGGCCTCACAATTCCAATTATCAACCCAAAGAAGAGGACCCAGGACAGGTAAAGAGAGGGGTGTTAGTTTTTTGATTACTGTCAGTGGCCATGAAATTCCTTTCCTCTATGAATGACTCTTCACATTAACCCTCATCTGAACTTACAGATGTTCAGAAGTGTTTGAACCATAAAACATGGCCAAGAATAGAGGTGGTCTTCCTAAAATACCCAGGACCGTAGTAGTACAGAAATAACAAAAAGTTCATGTACATATATTTTTCCTAGAAAAATATAAAACTTTCATTTCACCTGTGTCTAAAATTAAGAACAGAACAACT